CCCCCAAAACCCCAAAACCCCAAAACCCCTATTCAATTCAATAATATCGAAAGATCATTAATTTATTGGAAGAAATGGATCTTTATGACCCATGGGGACTTAGGAAAATAGTCATGTCGATTCCTCTAAATGAACCAGGGCAGGAAAGTAAGGATTAGAAATGAGGAAGTCTATAGTGGATATAAATATTGAGCATCCATGCCAAATCTTTTCAATTTTGCTCAAGCATGACATTTTGGGAAGAATGCTTTTCCTTTGATACATGAGATTTAACAACAAGATGAGGTGTGAAACTACTTCTGAGTATTTAAGAATTCTTAATTTACAGGAAACTTCTGCAAGCTTTATTTGACTCATGAACTGAAATCACCAAACTAATGCTTCAGAGGCAAAAGTATGAGTATAAATGTAAGCTTGATTTAGCAATGACTTCTCATTCATACACATACTAAATGAGACTGAAATTTTCTTTCCAAGTGTAGGAAAGTATTATCTTTTAAGAATTCCCATATCTTCTCTCAATGGCTGAAGCCAATGTTGAGTCTCAGGCAATCTTGGCTTAATTTCTTATTGTTTAAAAGGATTTCCTATCTTTCTTAAACCATTAATCATTAATATTTTAGATGGGGTCACAAGAGCATACAGGAGAGTATATAATGAAGAAGACAAGAAAAAATTTATTGAATCATTGCATAAGATCATGGGTAAGCACTTCTCTCAGTATTCTGTAGAAGTTTATGATTTCCCTGATGATATGCTCCAAGGCAGAGCTGCATATGCCCTGAATATGATCATCACAGCAATGAAAGAGCAAATGACTAAAGATAGTTACAATATTTTGGCCCAAAGAGGGGATATTCTGACAGGTTCTAAACTAGACCAAGCTGTTATAGAAGAGATGGATCAATACTTCTGTGATCTAGACAAAGCTGTCAGTTGATGCTATCAGTTCACAATTAAGAAAGATGAAGGAATTAAGAAGTTTACTAAAATGACTCCTTACATAATTGATTTCAAAGAGACAACGACTGATTTCTATACCAATGTTAGAAATTCAGTGATTTCTCAGGTGGCTCCTGCAATAAAGCAAGAGAAGGGATTTAGCAATTATCCAAACATAGAAGGTAAACTAATTTCATCATTCTAGATCATCTAACTCTAAAGATTAACCACTATCCTCAAATGATTATTTTATCTTCTGCTCTGATAGAAGGTACAGACTGTTTGTTCAAGTTAGTTCCTCAAGAATTCGACTTAAGCAAGGTAAATTCCCCTGTAGCCCAAGAAGAGACCCAAGATTTTGAAATTGTAGAAGAGGAAAAGATTGGAGACGATGAAGAAGAAATTATTGGACAAGATGAGGAAGAGAAAATTGGTCATGATCAAGAAGAAAATAAGCAGGAAGATCAAGAAGGAGTCAGTTTAGGAACAACCATTTATGAGATGAGGAATTTAATTTCAATGAATGAAAGAAATCAATTCTTTGACATGATAAATCATGATGATGGGGATTGGTCAGGATATGCTCAGGAAAGAAACTTTGATTATCAAAAATATACATTTATAAAGCATAAGATCCCAGATAATGATGTCCCAGTGCTCCCAATTGATGAACTAAAAAATTTGGACAATATTCAGAAAAATGATATCTTTATGAAATTAAAGCCACTCATGCTAATATACATGAAAAAGGACCAATTTACTAATAATTTTGACAAATATATAAGTAAGTCCTTTAATTTCTCAAGTAAGGTGATGAAGCTAGTGTTACTAATACCTTCTCCAATGATGATACAATGTCCTCTGATAACGATGCTGAAATTGCAAGGAAGTTACAGAAACAACTAAATGGGAAGCAATCAAAAGAGTATGCTCTAGTCTTAATATCTTTAGACCCAACCCCAAGTCTTTGTTACAGAAGATAAATGATTACTCAATGCACAGAGCCGATAGTACCAAAGATCTTAAACACATCTAGGTCTTAGATGGAAGTGTAGATTCTGTGACAAGGTTCAGGAAACTTATACAGCATGTTTTGATTGTGGTAAAAGTAGGTTCACTACATATATTTTGGAAATTTAAGAAGAGCCTTGACTATATAAGTTTAGATAAGAGTTTCTGCATTGCAGAAGAAGATGACTAAGATATAAGCAAAAATTTAAGACATCTTTGATAATAAACTAAAAGTTGCAATCTTTTTTGGTTTTTTAGGGGTTTTGGGGTTTTGGGGTTTTGGGG